TTGAAAACTACTTCCTTCAAATATCTTGATTTACCTAACCATGTTTTGTTCATTTTTTTCCCCCTAGGCCTTTATACAACTAACCATCAAATGTTGACATCAATAGCTTCTAGAGAGCCAGCACAAATGTTCCAGTCACCCAACCAGCAGACACAAGTTCTGCCATCTGGTTACAGCACTGGCCATAACACACATCCCAACACCAGGATTTTAAATTCATCGTCATTTCCCACAGGTGTTTCACACCAAAATACTAACAGTCCTACATTTATAACGGTACAGGGACGCTACAGTACATCTTTAAATCAGCCTGTAGCAACAAGAATGGAGACTCTTAATGATAATACTGTGAGAACTCCATATAGTCAGACTGTGCAGGCATCTCCAGATCAAAATCATAGTTATGAACGAGGTCCGCACCACATAACATCCAGTAATTTGTTTGGTAATTCTTTAGTAAGTATTTTTTTCTTTAATATTTTGTAAATGTATGTTATAAATATGTTTCAGTCAGCAGTAAAGTCTGGCATCATGAGATATAGTTGGCATCATGAGATATAGTTGGCATCATGAGATATAGTTGGCATCATGAGATATAGTTGGCATCATGAGATATAGTTGGCATCATGAGATATAGTTGGCATCATGAGATATAGTTGGCATCATGAGATATAGTTGGCATCATGAGATATAGTTGGCATCATGAGATATAGTTGGCATCATGAGATATAGTTGGCATCATGAGATATAGTTGGCATCATGAGATATAGTTGGCATCATGAGATATAGTTGGCATCATGAGATATAGTTGGCATCATGAGATAGATATAGTTGGCATCATGAGATATAGTTGGCATCATGAGATAGATATAGTTGGCATCATGAGATATAGTTGGCATCATGAGATATAGTTGGCATCATGAGATATAGTTGGCATCATGAGATATAGTTGGCATCATGAGATATAGTTGGCATCATGAGATATAGTTGGCATCATGAGATATAGTTGGCATCATGAGATATAGTTGGCATCATGAGATATAGTTGGCATCATGAGATATAGTTGGCATCATGAGATATAGTTGGCATCATGAGATATAGTTGGCATCATGAGATATAGTTGGCATCATGAGATATAGTTGGCATCATGAGATATAGTTGGCATCATGAGATATAGTTGGCATCATGAGATATAGTTGGCATCATGAGATATAGTTGGCATCATGAGATATAGTTGGCATCATGAGATATAGTTGGCATCATGAGATATAGTTGGCATCATGAGATATAGTTGGCATCATGAGATATAGTTGGCATCATGAGATATAGTTGGCATCATGAGATATAGTTGGCATCATGAGATATAGTTGGCATCATGAGATATAGTTGGCATCATGAGATATAGTTGGCATCATGAGATATAGTTGGCATCATGAGATATAGTTGGCATCATGAGATATAGTTGGCATCATGAGATATAGTTGGCATCATGAGATAGATATAGTTGGCATCATGAGATAGATATAGTTGGCATCATGAGATAGATATAGTTGGCATCATGAGATAGATATAGTTGGCATCATGAGATATAGTTGGCATCATGAGATATAGTTGGCATCATGAGATATAGTTGGCATCATGAGATATAGTTGGCATCATGAGATATAGTTGGCATCATGAGATAGATATAGTTGGCATCATGAGATAGATATAGTTGGCATCATGAGATAGATATAGTTGGCATCATGAGATAGATATAGTTGGCATCATGAGATAGATATAGTTGGCATCATGAGATAGATATAGTTGGCATCATGAGATAGATATAGTTGGCATCATGAGATAGATATAGTTGGCATCATGAGATAGATATAGTTGGCATCATGAGATAGATATAGTTGGCATCATGAGATATAGTTGGCATCATGAGATATAGTTGGCATCATGAGATATAGTTGGCATCATGAGATATAGTTGGCATCATGAGATATAGTTGGCATCATGAGATATAGTTGGCATCATGAGATATAGTTGGCATCATGAGATATAGTTGGCATCATGAGATATAGTTGGCATCATGAGATATAGTAGACTAAAGTTAATGAAAAAGTAAAGGTCCCTTTTCCAGGCCTTTTGGCATGTAGGGCTAGACCTAGTTTTTTTAATAGACCAATCAGCACAGGATGGGTGATGTGGTCAGCATCACGCTGGCCGACTTTACTTCGCGGGACTGCACCCAGTACCCACTCAAGGCTGGGTCGACCTGGGAGTCAAGGTCATTTATGAAAAAGTCATGCCTCTGCCAGGGAGCGAACCCACCACCTTCTGATCCGCAGGCGAGCATCTAGCCACTATGCCACAGTGATTCCCTACATCCAAATATACAACGAACGAAATAGAAATGCATGCAAGCAAAGCAATGGTGTCCTTGATACTGTGTCCACCATCGTGATGGTCAACCTCTGCCTTTTATCCAGAACTATACCCTAAATTACTATCTTCTTCTTCTTTTCATTCTGTTTGCCAGTGGTTTTCAAAAATAGAACGGCAGGTAACAGAGACAATAGGTACGTACACAACAGTTGAATGAGGGTAGATCACGAGGCATATCTAGAAGATTATAGACAGATAACATGCAAACACTATGAGTCAGCAGCTGGAAAGAGAAGACCAGTCACAGAGATGAATAGAAGCAGGTGATATCTGCAGCTGAATGCCGAAGAAGAAAATATTATAAATAGTTGATGGGCATAATTCTAAACAGGGAAATTGATCACCACAGTCTGGTGAGATTGATGCAGCGGGGAGATTGATGCAGTGGGGAGATTGATGCAGCGGGGAGATTGATGCAGCGGGGAGATTGATGCAGCGGGGAGATTGATGCAGTGGGGAGATTGATGCAGTGGGGAGATTGATGCAGCGGGGAGATTGATGCAGCGGGGAGATTGATGCAGCGGGGAGATTGATGCAGCGGGGAGATTGATGCAGCGGGGAGATTGATGCAGCGGGGAGATTGATGCAGTGGGGAGTGACAAGAGGTTCTGGCTGATGCTTGACGCTCAGAGGAAAGGCAAGACGGACGTTTAATCAGAATGCTACAGGCACCATTAGTATTGAAACTCTGCACTGGCTGCTGAAGTTGGGGACGGTGTGCTTATGGGAATGTCCCAAGTTATGTGATGTCAGTTCTTGAATCAACTCAACTCAATTATAATAGGAAGTCTAAACACAGACCCTGTTTTGAAAATTGGAAAAACACATGTAAAGGTAATAATTTATAAAGAAAAAAAATTTCCTCCATATAGCAACATGAAGTAAATGGAAAGGTCTGAAGCAGATTGATACAGGATTAGATACAGGATTAGATACCTTGATTACAGCAGATGGAAGATGTCTAAGAGAAGTTAAATATTATAGTATGAACGTGTAACAAGATCTGATGGCCTCTCTAAAAGGATTCTGTAAGGCTTGGTAGAGGGGAGGAGGAGAAGAGGAAGGCCAAAGAAAAAAAAGACCTGGATACGTAATTTGGCTTAATGGATAGGCCTAAAGCATGCACACTTCGGGTCAGTTGTATCTGACCCACAGTGGTGGGGGAACTGATCAGTCAGTCAGCAGCAACTGGTGACCCAATAGCACATCTGTCAGGGGACAATGATGGTGATGTAAACTGTTCCATGCAGCATTTGACAGGATGAGAAATATTCTTTGCAGTTGTGTGTGCCTGTGTGTGTGTCTCTCTCTGTCTCTGTCTGTCTGTCTGTCTGTCTCTCTCTCTATCTCTCTCGGTCTCTCTGTGTCTCTGTCTCTCTCTGTCTGTCTCTGCCCCTCTCTGTTTGTCTCTGTCTCTCACTCTGTCTTTATCTCTCTGTCTGCCTCTTTCTCTCTCTGTGTCTCTCTTTCTCTTTGTCTTTCTCTGTCTCTGTCTCTAACTCCGTCTCTGTCTTTCTCTCACTGTCTCTGTCTTTCTTTGTGTCTTTCTTTGTCTGTCTCTTTCTCTCTGTATTTCTCTGTCTCTCCATATTTCTCTGTCTCTGTCTTTCTCTCTGTCTCTATCTTTCTCTTTGTGTGTCTCTGTCTGTCTGTCTCTGTCTCTCTCTCTGTGTTTCTGTGTCTCTGTCTCTTTCTGTGTCTCTGGTTGTCTGTCTCTGTCTATGTGTCTCTGTCTGTCTGTCTCTGTCTATGTGTCTCTGTCTCTCTCTCTCTCTCTGTCTCTATTTGTCTTTCTGACTCTGTCTTTCTCTCTCTGTGTCTCTCTTTGTCTGTCTCTCTCTCTCTGTGTCTCTTTCTCTCACTCTCTTTGTCTTTCTCTCTCTGTCTCTGTCTTTCTCTCTCTGTATCTCTCGTTGTTTGTCTCTGTCTCTCTGTTTCTGTCTGTCTCCCTCTCTCTCCCCCTCCCTGCCTCCATGCCTCTTTCTCTCTCTCTCTCTCTTTCTCTCTCTTTCTCTACTGAGAATAAGAGTTCTGTATAGAGCTAATCCTTCTTATTTAGCATCCTCTGCCCTGGTCATCTTTGGTCATCTTATCACCACTGCAGATATCACCTGCCTCCATTCATCTCCATTCTTGTGTGTACACTATCAGTGATGATCATCCCTAGACTGGCTCCTCTTTCTGTGACCTAGCTGGGAATATTGTGTGGTTGTTCATACATTTATGCATGTGTGTCAGCTTACTGTGATCTGTGTGTTTATCCATACACGTGTGTGCAAATCCAGGACTGTTTATATATGGCTCACCCTTGAAAAACGCCAAAAATCACCTTGAGAAATCTTTGAAAAACCCTTGAAAAAGTTGCTTTATTTGGCTGCATACACACACACAGATGTATATGTATGTATGTGTACACACACTCACACATTGAGGGAAAGAGGCAAAGGAAGACCAGCGATTAGATGTTACACAGTTTGGCATGGTATGGAGGTACAGGTGTATAAGATAATTGCCAATAGTACATGAGACAAAACAGGCATGTTTAACAGTTTCCTATTTCCTTGAAGAATCAGCAAAGAAGTCGAAACAAACTGCCAGTGAACAAAGATGAAGAGGATGGTGAGGAGAGCCATAACAATCGTTTGCCTTTCCGAACTGCCAAAGAACAACTGGTAATTGATTTTCATGTTATAATGCTTAATTATGAATAGCTCCTTATAGATGTGTCATAAAAGACGACTAACTAGGAGTTTTCTGAAATCAGATGTTGAACTGAGAATCAAAATCATAGCACTCAGGACACTCCCATAAGCACTATGTCCCCATCTTCAGCAGCAAGAGAAGAGTTCTAATTCTGATGGTTCCAGTAACTTGTCTGATTATACATCCGTCTCAACCTTGAGTGCTGATGCCCTAGTAACTCCTCTCAGCGCCTTTCTCCTCAGACCTTCTTCTTGTGTTCGCTTTCTGATTTACACCGACAGACAGGTTCTTGTGATAAACTTGACTGTTTTTATGAGTTCATTTTTAGTCCCATACAACTTTGTTTACAGTGGTGACTCACTGGGCCAGTATTCCTTTCTTAATGGGCTGAACAAGGGACAGTCTTGCAGGACATGTTCTGTAGTCTGCACACATAGCCCACATGGGCAAAAAGGTGAACTACTTAGACGAAGCCTGTGCATATGCTGGTTAAGTTTGTTATGTCCTGTCCTGAGACGTAGGACAATGACCTGCCCATGCCGGTCAAGTAAGTGGTAGTCATCTCTGGCCAGACTCTGTTCACTTCTAATAGCCTGGATGGCCCTTTTCTTCTCATAGTATGTTACTGCATTCTCTTCCTGGTCACATTCTGCCCTTTTTTTAGCAAGTTTATCTGCGGTTTCGGTTCCTGGTATACCACAGTGGGATGGCACCCACTGGAGTACAGTACACTTTTGGGCAGCCACCTTGCCAAGTTCAGATCTCAAGTGAGGGAGTTTGCCACTCTTGAGGGCTTGAAGCACTGAAAGCGCATCTGTGAATATAACCACTTGGTGGCAGTCAGAACTGGTGTGTAACATTTCGGCAGCCTGCTCTAGTGCTACAATCTCTGATGTGTAGTTGGAACAGAATTTACCAGTGGGTGTCCACTTTGTGTGGCGGTGGTTGCCTGGGTATGTAATAAAGACTCCAGCACCCCCATTTTTAACCGCACTGGTTGCTGATCCATCTGTGTAAACATGTATCCATGACTGTTCGGGATAGTTTTCATGAATCATGCTAAGAGCAGCTGTTAGTTTTTGAAGATCATTGGACTCATCTCCAGTTGTGAATCCATTGACTGAAGTCATTATCTGTATTGTATCACTGACTTGCTCCCAAGGTACAGGGTATAGGGTAGGTTTCAGCGGTGTTGTTCTAATAGGTAGATCAGCTTGATACTGTCTTCTAAGTCTTTTCCTCCGATGGACAAAGCTGCTACGTTTGAGACGCCCTAATGCCAGATCATCTAACCTTTTATTCATTGGGTGTGACTGCATACTATTAAACTTCTCCATCTGGATCATAGTTTTAGTGTCTCTTCTATAGGACAGTGTCTGCATTGCAGTTATTTTCTGCATCTTTAGGATTGGTGCAGTTTTCATGGATCCTGTGATGAGTCTAAGAGCTTGATTTTGCACTCTGTCTAACGATTGTAGATTGGAATTAGCAGCTGTTGACCACGCTGTTGCACCAAACTCCAAGTGGGGTCTTATCGCTCCATTATAAACTTTCTTTAGGGTTTTTCCATTCGCTCCCCATCCTGTACCTGCCAGTTTTCTAAGTAGGCCTAGTCGTCTCCTGGCCTTCCCTTCTACATTTTCTATATGTTTGCTCCATGTGAGCCTTTTATCAAATGTTACTCCAAGATAAGTGGAGAAGCTTTCTTCCTTTAGCAAGGATGTTCCTAGGTGAATACTAGCAGCTTTGTCCCTGGGGGAAAGAGAGAAAAGCGTTGTGGATGTTTTGTCCGTGTTGATGGCAACATGCCATTTTTCTGCCCATGTCATCAAGAGATCTGCTGCTCGCTGCATTCTTATATTTGCCACTGTGGTGTGTTCATCGGTACACCAGAGTGCCAGATCATCTGCATACAGGGCAGCTTTTACTCCTGTAGGGAGGTCTTTCACCAGATCATTTATATACACAAGAAAGAGAGTTGGAGAGATAACTCCTCCCTGTGGTACTCCTTGCCGAAGAAACACTTTTCTACTCTGCTGGCCATCAAGACTGACTCTAGTTCTCCTGCTGTGTAAGAAGGATTGGATCCATTTTAGCATGTTTCTGTCGTGGAACAGGTTCCTTGTACACTCACTAAAGTGGTGTTATCTTGTTAGAAACCGAGACAACTGTCTTGTGGTGCAAAGAGCAGACAGTGTCCCTGGATACTCAGATACAGACTCGAATTGGCTCGCTAAAGAAAGTGAGCTGCCTGAATATCCCCAGAAAAGGGATAAGGGAATTTAGATGCCTAAACACTTAGACAGAGCAGATTACCCCTCCCGACAATTTCCCCTTCTGGTACTTAAATTAAGCCCCCATCTAGAATATGTATATTGGTAGACAACACTGACACCAGACATACATCTAGAAATAAAATTAAACTTTAACTATGAATTGAAATCAATCATAGGAATGTTTATTAAAATTAAAGTAAAATTCAATCATCTATTTACTTTTGAAAATACACTATTCAAACTAAGTAGGATGAAAGATAAAAATGATAGTAACATGAAACTGTCATTGTGAGAGGATCAGTGGGAAATAACATACAACAATTACCACCTGGAGTTTCCCAGAGGATCATCCATTTCAAAGACTGAGGTGGAATGTCGAATCTGTCTCAAGCACCAAGATCTTCCTTAGGGCACTTTAATCATCAGCTACAACCAGCCTGGCAGTGGTTTGGAAGCTCGTCCTGCCACAAGGAACAAGGAATCTGTCCTCGGCTTTTCAGCAGCTAGGGATGGAAACAATCAAAAAATATATAGTCCCTGCTGTTTTGCAAAATAAAATATATTCCCAACTTTCCCCTCTCTCTTCATATTGTCAGAAGTGGGATAATAGTCTAGTTGCATTGTCATTTACATAGCTTCCACTTCTGACTACTGTCCAGTCCAGATGAATGTCTTCCATCTTCTGTCCTTCAGGATGATAGTGTAATACCACTCATTTACACAGACTCAGACAGCAATATGCAGTTATAAATGCAACACAAAATCAGACAGAATGCTATAGAATTCTCTCTATAAATATTGAGAATTCTAGATAAAAGGGCTTGCCTTTCCTGTCTTCCAGATATTCCACTGGGTGTTTTCTTGGACAGCATGTCCTCAAAATCACAGCATTTAATACTGCTGTGTATAAGTAAAATGATACATTAATAACATCATGAATAATACATCAATAACCTGAAAACAAAATTCAGCACTTCTACAACAAGCAAACATTATGAATTATAGAAGTATGAGCATGAGAAGAACAATGTCTCCTATGAAATGTTACCATTGAAATGTTACCATTATCTACACAAACTCTAATAACCAGCCATAGATCATTCATCTACCAGCAATAGAAGATAGATAATTTCCTAAGAGTCTTAGATACAGCAAACAGAAGTAACCTCCTAGATACCGAACAATAGGAATCAGGAATAGATCATAAAGAAATGGTTTCCTGCCCATGTGCAGAAATGGGTCAGCGTGGTTTTTCCTCTGTCTGGTACAATTCTAATATTGTACACGAAATGCGGCCCGAAAACTGAAATCACGATTTAATTAACAGTTACTGTGCTCACCTGGATTTAGATGTAACTATATGGTCATGTTGCTAGGGTTTTTAGGGGGCGAGAAAGACAAAGTTCTGCCAAAACGGCCCGCTCTAACACCTGCTTGCTGACCTGAAGTAAAATGGCTGGCAATCTTGTCTCACTGCGGGATTTCCGGTGTTGGCCAGGGTTTTCCCCGCTACGTTGCCGAGTTACTAGCCGTATATTTTTATACGTGAAAGCTCAGGGGAATTACAAGTAGGACAATGGAAAATCCCCAAACAGCAACCGTAGGCTATAACCGGGATATCTCTCAATGCGTCTTATGACGAAAATGAAGTCACTGGGCGCATGTAAGAAAGAAAAATAGAAGGGTCACAACGGGGTGGTACGTCAGCCAAAAGTATCTTGTCTACTTGAAGCGGCGTCTCGCGACAGTTTCCTTGGATTCCATTTCTCTTCAGTTTTGCAATGAGACCATCTTTCCAGACTTTGTCAAAAGCTTGTTTGAAGTCAACCCATACCGCCAGGACCTTTTTCTTCTCTTGGAAGGCGTCCTCTACAGCTTGTGACAGGTAGGTGACTTGATCTTCTATGCTGTGACATTCCCTAAACCCAGACTGCTCTGGCACCAAGATCTGCTCAGATTCTAAGTGCCATTTCAGTCTTGAATTTACAATTCTTTCCAATGTCTTTCCTACACAGTCCTCAGACCTTAATGATCTGTTGGTGCCTTCGCTCAGTTCATAAACTCCCATAGGGCCCTCACAATATCTAGTTTGTCATACATCAATTCAACACCAAGTTGTGCAGAACTGGTCAGTCAGTCTGCCTGTTCATTTCCCAATGATGTACTGGGTCAGAAAGTGCAAACATTGCAGCCATGCTTTAAACTACAACACAAAATCCCAACTTCCCTTTTCAGGACAGATGAAGATGAAGAAGGGCTCGACTGTAATGTAAAGCTTCTCATGACCATAAACGTCTTATCGTTTAAACTCACAGTGTGGGTTCCAATGGCAACATGGGGGTGGAATGAATAAATCAACTAACCCAGTGGCTCTCAACCTTCCTACAGTTATTTTCGTTGCTACTTCATAACTTCAATGAATATGTGTTTTGTTTGGTCATTGGCGACCCCTGTGAAAGGGTCATTCAACCAAAAAAGTGAATAATAAAAGGTTTGCTAAAATCAGATGTTTAGCTCTTTATTTGCTGGCCAATGTACAGTTTGTGATAGGCTATAATCAGTGTGACTGAAGCCAAACACAGTATCCTCTCAGTTACATAATAACTAAGTGTGGCAGCCTGGATTATGCTGAAGCCAAACACAGTATCCTCTCAGTTACATAATAACTAAGTGTGGCAGTCTGGATTATGCTGAAGCCAAACACAGTAACCTCTCAGTTACATACTAACTAAGTGTGGCAGTCTGGATTATGCTGAAGCCAAACACAGTATCCTCTCAGTTACATAATAACTAAGTGTGGCAGTCTGGAGTATGCTGAAGCCAGACACAGTAACCTCTCAGTTACATAACTCAGTGTGGCAGTCTGGAGTATGCTGAAGCCAGACACAGTAACCTCTCAGTTACATAACTCAGTGTGGCAGTCTGGAGTATGCTGAAGCCAGACACAGTAACCTCTCAGTTACATAACTAAGTGTGGCAGTCTGGAGTATGATGAAGCCAGACACAGTAACCTCTCAGTTACATAACTAAGTGTGGCAGTCTGGAGTATGATGAAGCCAGACACAGTAACCTCTCAGTTATATAACTAAGTGTGGCAGTCTGGAGTATGCTGAAGCCAGACACAGTAACCTCTCAGTTACATAACTCAGTGTGGCAGTCTGGAGTATGCTGAAGCCAGACACAGTAACCTCTCAGTTACATAACTAAGTGTAGCAGTCTGGAGTATGCTGAAGCCAGATACAGTAACCTCTCAGTTACATAACTAAGTGTAGCAGTCTGGAGTATGCTGAAGCCAGACACAGTAACCTCTCAGTTACATAACTCAGTGTGGCAGTCTGGAGTATGCTGAAGCCAGACACAGTAACCTCTCAGTTATATAACTAAGTGTAGCAGTCTGGAGTATGCTGAAGCCAGACACAGTAACCTCTCAGTTACATAACTCAGTGTGGCAGTCTGGAGTATGCTGAAGCCAAACACAGTAACCTCTCAGTTACATAACTTAGTGTGACCTGAAGTAAAATGGCTGGCAATCTTGTCTCACTGCGGGATTTCCGGTGTTGGCCAGGGTTTTCCCCGCTACGTTGCCGAGTTACTAGCCGTATATTTTTATACGTGAAAGCTCAGGGGAATTACAAGTAGGACAATGGAAAATCCCCAAACAGCAACCGTAGGCTATAACCGGGATATCTCTCAATGCGTCTTATGACGAAAATGAAGTCACTGGGCGCATGTAAGAAAGAAAAATAGAAGGGTCACAACGGGGTGGTACGTCAGCCAAAAGTATCTTGTCTACTTGAAGCGGCGTCTCGCGACAGTTTCCTTGGATTCCATTTCTCTTCAGTTTTGCAATGAGACCATCTTTCCAGACTTTGTCAAAAGCTTGTTTGAAGTCAACCCATACCGCCAGGACCTTTTTCTTCTCTTGGAAGGCATCCTCTACAGCTTGTGACAGGTAGGTGACTTGATCTTCTATGCTGTGACATTCCCTAAACCCAGCCTGCTCTGGCACCAAGATCTGCTCAGATTCTAAGTGCCATTTGAGTCTTGAATTTACAATTCTTTCCAATGTCTTTCCTACACAGTCCTCAGACCTTAATGATCAGTTGGTGCCTTCGCTCAGTTCATAAACTCCCAAAGGGCCCTCACAATATCTAGTTTGTCATACATCAGTTCAACACCAAGTTGTGCAGAACTGGTCAGTCTGTCTGCCTGTTCATTTCCCAATGATGTACTGGGTCAGAAAGTGCAAACATTGCAGCCATGCTTTAAACTATCAACACAAAATCCCAACTTCCCTTTTCAGGACAGATGAAGATGAAGAAGGGCTCGACTGTAATGTAAGGCATCTCATGACCATAAACGTCTTATCGTTTAAACTCACAGTGTGGGTTCCAATGGCAACATGGGGGTGGAATGAATAAATCAACTAACCCAGTGGCTCTCAACCTTCCTACAGTTATTTTCGTTGCTACTTCATAACTTCAATGAATATGTGTTTTGTTTGGTCATTGGCGACCCCTGTGAAAGGGTCATTCAACCAAAAAAGTGAATAATAAAAGGTTTGCTAAAATCAGATGTTTAGCTCTTTATTTGCTGGCCAATGTACAGTTTGTGATAGGCTATAATCAGTGTGACTGAAACTACGAACTATGTGTAATTATATATTTTATATTTAATTTAAGCATGCTACAGAAATCTGGCTAGATATGGTAACATAAGCTTAGTATTTGTTGTCTCTTTGAAAGTAATACACCTATGCTCTTTTCACTGTGTCTTTTATCTCCTTAAGCATTTAAAACCAAGTTTTCGGGTACTGAGGGAGTTAGGGTTGAAATGTGCAGATTGCACAGGGAATGTTGCACAGAGCACAAACTTCCTAGCTGCAGCAGTGATCCCCAGAGATATTTTTTTTAACCGCTCACGTGAACTGAACCTCACAGTCTAAATACAAACCCAAGACTTTTAAAGCATTAGGATAATGCCGACTTTGCTGTGGAGACTCTCTCTCTCTCTCTCTCTCTCTCTCTCTTTCTTTCTCTCTCTCTCTCTCTCTCTCTCTCTCTCTCACACACACACACACAGACAGACAGACAGCAGCTACTTCATTCTGATATGTCTGCTAGAAATTGGAAATGAACCGTGTGATTTAACTTCTTGGTTCCGAGGTCCCCATTTTGGGGGAGGGGGATAATAGATTGTCCTCCTAACAAGCATGTCATAAAAGTCGACTAATTAGGTGTGTATCCTTCAAAGTCAGGGTGCATCTGCCTGAGAGGCAAGGAACCAATAGTCTGCATACACATAAATAAGTCATGCAAAAGTCAAATTCTGGATCAAGATCAAAGCCCAAAAGTGCATGAACAGCCAGAACATTCCTGTTGGCATTATTCACCCAGTGAATGCGAAGAAGAAGAAGAAGAACCATGAGATTAACACAGCAATTTCAAATTGAATACATACTCTTTTTGTTTGCACAACACAGAATATTTCATTTAAAATAAATTAGAGGTTAAGAAGTCTCCATATGGGATAAAACCTGGTGCAGTGAAGTCGATCCTCTCGACTTTAACCTTTAACTTTAACCTTAAAAGAAAAAAAAAACTGTACAGATTTCGGAATTACTTCAGCATAGTGGCTAGATGCTCATCTAATAGTTTAAAGGTCTCAGGTATTGTCTACCTTGAGTCGGATTTTAAAATAAATTTGCTTAGCTGCCAGGTCAACCCAGCCTAAAATGGCTACAAAGTAATGGGAAGTGAAAGTGGCCGGTGTGATGTTGACCACATCATCTGCTTAGAGCCATTTGCTCCTTAGCAGTATAATACTAGCATCATATGCCCAGTGTACCACTGGCATTAAAAGGGTCCTTTTTTATAAGCTTTTATTAAGGTAACTTTTGTATGTATGTCTGGTCAAAACTTTGCCTTCGATTTACACAATTCAAAACTCCTCTTGTTCCTTTTTCCCCGCTATGTTTCTCTATGTTTTAGATCATTAACCAACAGAAGAAGTTTGCTGGTGCAGGTAGTGGAGGGGTGTATGACAGATCACAGGTCCAGGGAGCCAGCTATGGAGGAGGCAAGAAGTCACTGGGGACCAGGTTTGATTCTTCTAGTCCTCTCTCTCTCCTAATGTTGAGTACTTGTTACTATATAACTCCTCCCTGTGTGGATTCGGGGCCTCAGTATGGGGGAAAAACACCAATACACTCACTGCCCTCTCTAAAGCACGTGTCGTGAAGGGCGACTAATTAGGGGTGTTTCCTTTCAAATTCTAAGTGAGGAACCAACAGTCTGTATGCAAGTAAGCCAGATCTGTAAAATGGATGTGCATACAAAACTCAAGTTCTGGAACAAGACCAATGTACAGAAGTGGACAAACACCTAGAACTTTCCACCAGAGTTTACAGTCTGTGAACTAATAATAAGAAGAAGTATAAGCCTTCCATAGAAATATTTTGGTTTTGCGCACATATACTTAGCAGACTATTATAAATCAACCCAGGCTTCTTTTGTCTATGGTTTTACTTGGTAGTTTTATTTTCGGTTTTCAGAAGCTGAAATATTTTGGTCATATAAAGCGCCACGACGGATTGGAAAAAAATTAAAGCAGAAGACATGGTTCCAGGAAGGAGAGGCAGGGGCTGACCAGAACGAAGATGGGCACAGGATATAAGTGTGGCAGTCTGGAGTATGCTGAAGCCAGACACAGTAACCTCTCAGTTACATAACTAAGTATGACAGTCTGGATTATGCTGAAACCAGACACAGTAACCTCTCAGTTACATAACTGAGTGTGGCAGTCTGGAGTATGCTGAAGCCAGACACAGTAACCTCTCAGTTACATAACTTAGTGTGGCAGTCTGGAGTATGCTGAAGCCAGACACAGTAACCTGTCAGTTACATAACTAAGTGTGACAGTCTGGAGTATGCTGAAGCCAAACACAGTAACCTCGCAGTTACATAACTAGGTGTGGCAGTCTGGAGTATGCTGATGCCAAACACAGTAACCTCTCAGTTACATAACTAAGTGTGACAGTCTGCAGTATGCTGAAGCCAAACACAGTAACCTCTCAGTTACATAACTAAGTGTGGCAGTCTGGAGTATGCTGAAACCAGACATAGTAACCTCGCAGTTACATAACTAAGTGTGGCAGTCTGGAGTATGCTGAAGCCAGACACAGTATCCTCTCAGTTACATAACTAAGTGTGGCAGTCTGGAGTATGCTGAAGCCAGACACAGTATCCTCTCAGTTACATAACTAAGTGCGGCAGTCTGGAGTATGCTGAAGCCAGACACAGTAACCTTTCAGTTACATAACTAAGTGCGGCAGTCTGGAGTATGCTGAAGCCAGACACAGTAACCTCTCAGTTACATAACTAAGTGTGGCAGTCTGGAGTATGCTGAAGCCAGACACAGTAACCTCTCAGTTACATAACTAAGTGTGGCAGTCTGGAGTATGCTGAAGCCAGACACAGTAACCTCTTAGTTACATAACTTAGTGTGACAATCTGGAGTATGCTGAAGCCAGACACAGTAACCTTTCAGTTAAATAACCTAAGTGTGGCAGTCTGGAGTATGCTGAAGCCAAACACAGTAACCTCTCAGTTACATAACTAAGTGTGGCAGTCTGGAGTATGCTGAAGCCAGACACAGTAACCTCTCAGTTACATAACTTAGTGTGACAATCTGGAGTATGCTGAAGCCAGACACAGTAACCTCTCAGTTACATAACTAAGTGTGGCAGTCTGGAGTATGCTGAAGCCAGACACAGTAACCTCTCAGTTACATAACTAAGTGTGGCAGTCTGGAGTATGCTGAAGCCAGACACAGTAACCTCTCAGTTACATAACTAAGTGCGGCAGTCTGGAGTATGCTGAAGCCAGACACAGTATCCTCTCAGTTACATAACTAAGTGTGGCAGTCTGGAGTATGCTGAAACCAGACACAGTATCCTCTCAGTTACATAACTTAGTGTGGCAGTCTGGAGTATGCTGAAGCCAGACACAGTATCCTCTCAGTTACATAACTAAGTGTGGCAGTCTGAAGTATGCTGAAGCCAAACACAGTAACCTCTAAGTTACATAACTAAGTGTGGCAGTCTGAAGTATGCTGAAGCCAGACACAGTAACCTCTCAGTTACATAACTAAGTGTGGCAGTCTGGAGTATGCTGAAGCCAGACACAGTAACCTCTCAGTTACATAACTAAGTGTGGCAGTCTGGAGTATGCTGAAGCCAGACACAGTAACCTCTCAGTTACATAACTTAGTGTGACAATCTGGAGTATGCTGAAGCCAGACACAGTAACCTCTCAGTTACATAACTAAGTGTGGCAGTCTGGAGTATGCTGAAGCCAGACACAGTAACCTCTCAGTTACATAACTAAGTGTGGCAGTCTGGAGTATGCTGAAGCCAGACACAGTAACCTCTCAGTTACATAACTAAGTGTGGCAGTCTGGAGTATGCTGAAGCCAGACACAGTAACCTCTCAGTTACATAACTTAGTGTGACAATCTGGAGTATGCTGAAGCCAGACACAGTAACCTCTCAGTTACATAACTAAGTGTGGCAGTCTGGAGTATGCTGAAGCCAGACACAGTAACCTCTCAGTTACATAACTAAGTGCGGCAGTCTGTAGTATGCTGAAGCGAGACACAGTAACCTCTCAGTTACATAACTAAGTGCGGCAGTCTGGAGTATGCTGAAGCCAGACACAGTAACCTCTCAGTTACATAACTAAGTGTGGCAGTCTGGAGTATGCTGAAGCCAGACACAGTAACCTCTCAGTTACATAACTAAGTGCGGCAGTCTGGAGTATGCTGAAGCCAGACACAATAACCTCTCTGTTACATAACTAAGTGTGGCAATCTGGAGTATGCTGAAGCCAGACACAGTATCCTCTCAGTTACATAACTTAGTGTGGCAGTCTGGAGTATGCTGAAGCCAGACACAGTATCCTCTCAGTTACATAACTTAGTGTGGCAGTCTGGAGTATGCTGAAGCCGGACACAGTAACCTCTCAGTTACATAACTAAGTGTGGCAGTCTGGAGTATGCTGAAGCCAGACACAGTAACCTCTCAGTTACATAACTAAGTGTGGCAGTCTGGAGTATGCTGAAGCCAGACACAGTAACCTCTCAGTTACATAACTAAGTGCGGCAGTCTGGAGTATGCTGAAGCCAGACACAATAACCTCTCTGTTACATAACTAAGTGTGGCAATCTGGAGTATGCTGAAGCCAGACACAGTAACCTCTCAGTTACATAACTTAGTGTGGCAGTCTGGAGTATGCTGAAGCCAGACACAGTATCCTCTCAGTTACATAACTTAGTGTGGCAGTCTGGAGTATGCTGAAGCCGGACACAGTAACCTCTCAGTTACATAACTAAGTGCGGCAGTCTGGAGTATGCTGAAGCCAGACACAGTATCCTCTCAGTTACATAACTTAGTGTGGCAGTCTGGAGTATGCTGAAGCCAGACACAGTAACCTCTCAGTTACATGACTAAGTGTGGCAGTCTGGAGTATGCTGAAGCCAGACACAGTAACCTCTCAGTTACATAACTAAGTGTGACACTCTGGAGTATGCTGAAGCCAGACACAGTAACCTCTCAGTTACATAACTCAGTGTGGCAGTCTTTCCTCGATGAGGAATGAGGTAGGGATACTTAAGAGAATTATAGTCTGCCTGGTCACAGTCACAGATGATCTTTCATGCCATGATGTCAAACTGTCCAGCATCTTCTCTCTCGAAGATACACAAGTTTGTTTGTTTTGTTTTTTAAACTCTTACATACGAATAGTCATACTTTTACTTAGTTTAAGGAGCTGTGGACAAAGTTTTAATGAAAAAAGGCACCGTGACTAAGAAAAATTTGGGAAACACTAGCTTAATACATTAAAAAAAGTTTTTCAAAAATAAGTAAATAAATTTGAGTGACGTTCAACCTCACAGCAAGCAATAATCACCGGTGACACAAAGCGCCGCTATTCGGATGGTAATTGAAATAAATAAATTTGTTTCAAAATTTTGTAGTAACTTGTGCAGAACAGTTTTATATTTTGAAAGGATTTTACACGTGCAAATTCCCAGTCTTACAGGTCATCAAAGAACAAATGAAGGGGTTTGGACACCTAATAAGAATGCCCTGGTACTAACTACCACAGCGAGCCACACTGAAATGTTACAATGGGTATAGAACGAAGGGAAGACCTCTGAAAAGATGGAGTGATGGCATAAAGAACAGCCTTACAGAAATGAACATCTAACTTAATAGTGCTCTTTTCAGAGCTCATCGACAAGCGTTACATCCCTGGAAGTCAAGGTCATATTTGAAAAACCACAACCTTCCTATCCGCAGGCGAGCGTCTAGCCGCTACGCCACCTCGACTCCCAGAATTCCTTTTGACCCATTTAAAAAATGTTTCTGTAATGAAAGTGTTAATCAGAATAAATGTTATGAGAATATCTCAGCCAAACTTGTTTTTGAATTCACAATTAGGACAGACTAACTGCTTATGTTGATTCTAAATCATATCTACTAGAAATGATTATCCCGATGTCCGTGTTGCAAACCCAAGCCACAAACAGAAAGGTGCTACAAGTGACCCTGAAGAGCCACTTGATGAGAGACTAAAGGGTATTGAGCCAAAAATGATTGAGCTTATTAATAATGAAGTGAGGAGTTCGATATCGTATTTATTTAGATTTTGTGCTTGTATGTATCCTCTCAGACTCTTTCTGTGTCCTGTACCTGGCTGGTGACTCTATCTCTGCTCCTCTTTCTCTGTCTCATCTCTCTGTCTCCCCATCTCATCTCTCATCACCTTATATGTCTCCTGCATCTCATTTTTTTCCCCTCTCTTCACCTCATCTGTCTTATCCATCTAATCTCTTTTCACCTCATCTTTTTCCTCCAATTAATCTTTCTTTCTTCATATCTTCTCTCTTCTGCATCTCATCTTTCTCCCATTCTTCACTTCTATCCTCCATCTCTCTCTTCACCTTATTTCTTTCTCTACTCCATCTTATATCTCTCTATTCACCTCATTTGTCTCCTTCATCTCATCTCTCTTTTAGAAACAAGTTTCCTCTCTTTTATTTTACATGAAGCCACTTCTTCTGTCTGTCGACACCAGGTGAAACATGCCTCTTACAGCCAATTTTACTATGTACACTATGTATACCTCTTCCTGATTAGTTGGACTGTGTCGATAACATTTCTACAGAATAACTTAGCCACCCTTATGCCAACCTTCCTTAGTTGCCTTTTATAGCATGCATGGTATTTTACATTGTTACTGTCTTTTATAGTCGGCGTCTTTGTCTTAGGCATTGCGAGCGAGCTTCGTAATGCCAGGGTGCCGGGTTCAATCCCAGCTGTGGGCCTTGCGCCTTGCATTGGTTTCAACAGTGATATCGAGAAGCCGACCATCCAAAAGGCAATGCCAAACTATCATTATGTAGTAGGTCCTTTGCAGAACGTCGCTCTCATCACAGTCTGCCTGTAAGAAACTCAGTCTCTCACCAGCTCTCCCGCCTCACGCACTTTCATACTCAAGGAGCCACTTATATCCTTTGCCCTTCTTCATGTTGGTTGGCCCCTGCTCCTCCTTCCTGGTACCATGCTTTCTGCTATTATTTTTTCCAATCCATCATGGCGCTTGATATGACCAACATATTTCAGCTTCTGAGACAGGATGCTGTTTATTAGCCAATCTTCCTTGATGTTCAGATCTTTCAAGATGTCAGTATTTCTCCTCTTCTTTGTCCATGATATTCTGAGAATCTAATGGCAAACCACTGAACGTAAATTTGCCTAGAAAAACCACAAGCAACCCCCAAAAAAAATGCTGGGGTTGGTTCTGCAACGTCCTCCTGTAAAGGATACGCAACTAACTTTACCTGTCTTTTGTGAACATGATGATCCTCATTTCCTCAAGGTTGTTCTTGATGCCTCAAGGGAATGAAAGGTGCCATGAGGAGTGGCCAGGGGAAGGCAAGACGGATATATAGGCAAACTGTTACTATACATCCGAATTGAATCTCTGCTGAAGATGGGGACAGAGCACTTGTGGGAATGTGCTGTTATGTTGATTCTTATTTCAAAATTCAAATTAAGATTTTATTGCGGCACTTGTTCCATCTTCTGCATGGGCTTCCCCTTGTTCTGCATCCATTGTATTTCTTCGGCCTGGCTTTTTTTGGCAGGTGGTATTAGGGCATTCTTGTCAGAAGGCCAAACCATCTTAGTTTCTCTTGTCAGTATAACTAAAAAATGACTAATGACCAATTCAACTAAACAAATTAATGACTGATTCAACTAAACAAACTGATGACCAATTCAACTAAACAAACTAATGACCACTTCAACTAAACAAACTAATGACCAATTCAACTAAAGAAACTATCATAAAACTATAAATGATGCCTGTATTTAGACCTTTTGCAGAGGGTGGGGGAGGGGGGGGGGAGTTGAGTCTGAAGATTTAGAGCCGCATTGCTAGTGCTGTCGTCACAGACTGTACGGGTAAAGATTTCATTTTTGCACCCGATAGAAAAAACTCCACAGCCTTAGCAAGACATTCTTAACTGTTTGGCCAGCCCCTCCTTGCTAAGTACCATAATGACTATTTATTTAACCAAACATGAGCGATGATGATGGCCAGGTTAACTATACATATGTTGTGTCTGTCATTACAGATAATGGATCATGGAACTCCAGTTTTGTGGACAGATATTGCTGGTTTAGAGTTTGCCAAGAAAACTATCAAAGAAATTGTCATTTGGCCCATGCTCAGACCGTAAGTATTGTTTTCTAGAATTATCCAGAATAAATGTTTTTTAGAATTATCCAGAATAAATGTTTTCTAGAATTATCCAGAATAAATGTTTTCTAGAATTATCCAGAATATAGATAAACGGTTTCTTCTTCTTGTTATGCGTTTATCTGAAGATATAAATGCGTTGTGCCCATTTAAAGCGTGACTGCGATATCTGCACCATTCAGCAGACACATCTGACTTCTGCAGGCATTTGTTGACCAGGTTGGCTTTCCCGGGTCTGATAAACATTTAATATATGGCTTCTAGAAATATGTTGTCATGAAGTCTGGCAGTCACTCATGTTCTATAGAAATGAGAAGCAGTCACTCATGTTCTATAGAAGTGAGAAGCAGTCATTCATGTTCTATAGAAATGAGAAGCAGTCACTCATGTTCTATAGAAGTGAGAAGCAGTCACTCATGTGAGAAGCAGTCACTCATGTTCTATAGAAATGAGAAGCAGAGTCTCTCATGTTCTATAGAAGTGAGAAGCAGTCACTCATGTTCTATAGAAGTGAGAAGCAGTCACTCATGTTCTATAGAAGTAAGAAGCAGAGTCTCTCATGTTCTATAGAAGTGAGAAGCAGTCACTCATGTTCTATAGAAGTGGGAAGCAGTCACTCATGTTCTATAGAAGTGAGAAGCAGTCACTCATGTTCTATAGAAGTGAGAAGCAGTCACTCATGTTCTATAGAAGTGAGAAGCAGAGTCTCTCATGTTCTATAGAAGTGAGAAGCAGTCACTCATGTTCTATAGAAGTGAGAAGCAGTCACTCATGTTCTAAAGAAGTGAGAAGCAGTCACTCATGTTCTATAGAAATGAGAAGCAGAGTCTCTCATGTTCTATAGAAATGAGAAGCAGAGTCTCTCATGTTCTATAGAAGTGAGAAGCAGTCACTCATGTTCTATAGAAGTGAGAAGCAGTCACTCATGTTCTATAGAAGTGAGTAGCAGAGTCTCTCATGTTCTATAGAAGTGAGAAGCAGTCACTCATGTTCTATAGAAGTGAGAAGCAGTCACTCATGTTCTATAGAAATGAGAAGCAGAGTCTCTCATGTTCTATAGAAGTGAGAAGCAGTCACTCATGTTCTAAAGAAGTGAGAAGCAGTCACTCATGTTCTATAGAAATGAGAAGCAGAGTCTCTCATGTTCTATAGAAGTGAGAAGCAGTCACTCATGTTCTATAGAAGTGAGAAGCAGTCACTCATGTTCTATAGAAATGAGAAGCAGAGTCTCTCATGTTCTATAGAAGTGAGAAGCAGAGTCACTCATGTTCTATAGAAGGGAGAAGCAGTCACTCATGTTCTATAGAAGTGAGAAGCAGAGTCTCTCATGTTCTATAGAAGTGAGAAGCAGTCACTCATGTTCTATAGAAGTGAGAAGCAGTCACTCATGTTCTATAGAAGTGGGAAGCAGTCACTCATATTTTATAGAAGTGAGAAGCAGAGTCACTTTTGTTCTATAGAAGTGAGAAGCAGAGATCAGAAATGCTAAAAACTGAGTCGTGACTCTATGAGAGTTCTTGAAACAAATCCTTTAAAAACAGCAAATTTACATTGGTCCTAATACATTTTTACAAAATTTATGTATGTATATGGGGTTTAAAAAAAAATGTAAAGATATATATATATATATAAAGGGAGTAATTATATAATAATAAATTAAAATATATAAAGGGAGTATTTATATCATATAGAAATAATATATTATAATATATAAAGGGAGTATTTATATAATATAGAAATAATATATTATAATATATAAAGGGAGTATTTAAATCATATAGAAATAATATATTATAATATATAAAGGGGAGTATTTATATCATATAGAAATAATATATTATAATATATAAAGGGAGTATTTATATCATATAGAAATAATATATTATAATATATAAAGGGAGTATTTATATCATATAGAAATAATATATTATAATTTATAAAGGGAGTATTTATATCATATAGAAATAATATATTATAATATATAAAGGGAGTATTTATATAATATAGAAATAATATATTATAATATATAAAGGGAGTATTTATATCATATAGAAATAATATATTATAATATATAAAGGGAGTATTTATATAATATAGAAATAATCTATTATAATATATAAAGGGAGTATTTATATCATATAGAAATAATATATAAAGGGAGTATTTATATAATATAGAAATAATATATTATAATATATAAAGGGAGTATTTATATCATATAGAAATAATATATTATAATATATAAAGGGAGTATTTTATATCATATAGAAATAATATATTATAATATATAAAGGGAGTATTTATATCATATAGAAATAATATATTATAATATATAAAGGGAGTATTTATATCATATAGAAATAATATATTATAATATATAAAGGGAGTATTTATATCATATAGAAATAATATATTATAATATAAACGGAGTAATTAGTAAACATGAACAGAGTGAAGCATTTAATGGAATAATCCTCTGAACCTAAAACTGTATGTATCGGTGACTCATGCCATGACCTCTATCACTTAGGTTCACGGGGTAAATGTTGCGTCAGCCTGGCTTTGAAAAATCATTTGATTTGAAGGAAAACCCACTAAATGCTATTTTTAGTTAATAAGTTCACATCCTGGCCTCATAAACATTTACACAGGCATAAACACAGCCAGTAGCATTAACTATACGTTTCATAAAGAGGTCACTGCAGACGTATGTATGAATATTTGTCACTTTACAATATGCCAGAGGCAAACATATACATTCCTACTTCAAGTAAAGTAAAGATCCCTTTTCACGCCTTTAGACGCATCAGGCAGATGGGAAGAGCACCCATATTTTTTACAGACCAATTGGCACTAGGTGGATAATGTGGTCAGCATTTCGTCGGCCGTCTTTACTTCCCCAGGACATACATCCTGGTACCCATTTTAGACTAGGTCGACCTGTGACGCTTCATACCATGATAAAAATCCAAACAGCCAGCAGTGGGTTTCAATTGCAGTATGTTGAAATTACGAGTCGGACTGGCAATGCCTAAGCCACGGATGCCACCCACTTCAAGTAGATCAAAATGAAATATTACTTTCAAGCGCATACACAGTTTGTTTATTTCAATGTTCAGATGCATTTTTCTGGAAATGATGATTTCCTTTTCTTCTTCTTTGCGTTCACCAGCTGTAAACTGCGGCGGAAAGTTCTGGACTTTACTCTTGTTCTAAAACCTCAGTGTTGCAAGCACATACATTTAACAATAGATCTGACTTATTTGTGTGCAGATTGTTGGTTCTGTACCTCTCTGGCAGATGCACTCCGACTTTGAAGGAAGCCCCTATTTAGTAGACTTACAGCATTCTTGTTTTCCCCCACAGTGGGACTACACAGGCAGAAAAAAGGATTTAGCAGTTAAGGGACATTGATAGTTACCAACACGGCATTTACAGAAAAAAAATTGATCATCATCAATTTCTACTTCTGCCGTTAAGTGTTGTGGGGAGGATGGATAAACTCACTGCCTCCAGCAAGCATGTCTTAAAAATTGGGGTCTAATTACAGATAAGCCAGATCTGTAAAATGGATGTGCACCAAAACTCAGTTAATGGAAGAAGTGGATCAACAACCAGAACTTCCTGCCGGAGTCAGCCGGTGAATGCAAAGAAGAATCATGCAAATGTTTTTTTTTTTAATTTGGCTTTAAAAAAAAAAAACGGTTCATAAAGTCTCTAGTTTTTATAGATCAGTTAGAAATACCTTTAATATTTCACTAAGTAGATTATTAATTTATTTAATAGGGACATCTTTACAGGCCTCCGAGGACCCCCAAAGGGACTGTTGTTGTTTGGGCCTCCGGGCACTGGGAAAACCCTTATAGGTAAACGACTGAACCTTACTATAATTAGAAATTAGATGACATTTTTTATAATGACGTTCTCTAATTTTTTATCTTTGCTGACAGCAAATATTCAATATTTTTACTTGAATAATTGTTCATATTTTATGGTGGAAATGTGGTTTCTGGGGAGTTCATTTTCAAGATTTGACATCACAGCACATTCTTGTAAGTGCTGCATCCCAATCTTCAGCAGCCAGCGAAGAGTTCCAACTGCAGTGGTACCAATAGCAGTCTCACTGTATGTCTGTCTTGCCTTTCCTCTGAGATGTACTGCCAGCCTTATGGCCTGATCACTTCCCTTTGCACTGAGGAAAGTGCAGCAAAATACCACAGACAAACAGAAAAAATTAATGCGAAAGTTATCCGGGTAACGGACATAAATCTAGAACTGATTGGGGAAATAGATATATACAGTGGAGATTTTTTTCAAAGGTATTTTCAGAGAAGAAAATCACTTGAAAATTTAGTAACACATGGTACATGTGATGAAATAGAGCAGGTGGATGCTGCAGAGGTGCAATACAGCTGGGCAACATGGGGTAAATGGGACAAGAACACAGGCATTATCCAATTCTGGTGACCGTTTAAGATGGCAAACCATGATCGACTGTGCTTGTAGGCATGGCACCTGATGAAGATGGATTGTGGATGTCCTGAAGTGAATGTTTTTTAAAATTTCGTTGAGTCAATTTCATAAGGAATTTGAAGAGGGACAGGGGTGAGGAGGGATGTGCTGGCATTTTTATGCATAGGATGTCCAGGGCATAAAACAAAAATCAAAGACCTTCTGTTCTGTCAGAATTATTTTAAAGGTGAAAACAGGCATGCTTAATGCAGAGTGGCAAGCATCACTTCAGAGGTCCTGGGTAGTTAGTATCCTTTTGATATTTTCTCTAGGTCATGCAGAACTTCATTCATTTTTTTCCTGTAACTTTCATCCAAGCATCCGATGCGCTTCCAGCACCTTTGTCAGTGCATTTTCTGGATCTCGCTGTCACCGTGAACTCTATAGGCCTCAGCACCTCGGTGTACTATAAGCCTACTGATTCCCATGCTTTTCTTCTCTACTAGTCCTCCCATTCCTCTTCTTGCAAGGACTCAATTCCGTACTCTCAACTTCTCCGCCTCCGCAGACTATGCCAGGAGAATGACAACTTTCACAAGAAGGCCCTGGAAATGCTGGTCTTCTTCCGTCTTCGAGGGTATCCTGAACTATTTTACTTGCAGTAATAGTTAAGTACCAGGTAAAGTCCTAGGAAGTAAAGGCAGCCATCATGATGTTGACCACTCCTGGGAAGTAAAGGCAGCCGGCACAAATGTTGACCACATTACCCACCGAAGGCCGATTAGTCTATAAAATATAGGTCTAACCCTATAGGCCCAATGACGTAAAGGCATGGGAAAGTGTCCCTTACTAATAGTTGCTTAGATCCAGAGGGGTTAAAATAACCACACTAAGACACCAAAAAGATTAAGTAACATTTGGGCTAACATGTTATTATAACAGTTGTTTGGGAAACAAAAGTGTTTATTAGAAAAGGAATTTCATTTAATAAATAAACAATAAACACATGGTGAGTTGATTGGGACAGACTGAGTAGATTTCAGAGTGGCTATTGAAACTACACAAAGATGTTGCTCTCTTGCAGGCAAATGTATTGCCAGTCAGTCAAAGTCAACGTTTTTCTGTATATCTGCTTCCAGTCTTACTTCCAAATGGGTATGCTGTGTTTTATGGATGTTTTGTGTTTTATGGGTATGTTGTGTCATATGGGTATGTTGTGTTTTATGGGTATGTTGTGTTATATGGGTATGTTGTGTTATATGGGTATGTTGTGTTTTATGGATGTTTTGTGTTTTATGGGTATGTTGTGTTATATGGGTATGTTGGATTTTATGGGTGTGTTATGTTTTATTGGTGTGTTATGGATATTTTGTGTTTTATGGATGTATTGGGTTTTATTTATGTTTTATGGGTATGTTGTATTTGATTGAATATGTTGTGTTTTATGGTTATGTTGTAGTGTTAAATAGGTATGTTGTGGTCTTTTTTGGATATAATTGTAGTATTGTATGGCGTGTGTTGTAGTGGTTTATGGATATTATTGTAGTGTTGCATAGGGTGATTGAAGTGGTTTATGGGTATAATTTTAATGTTAGATGGGGTATGTTGTAGTGTTTTATGAGTGTAATTGTAAATTTTTTTTTTGTGGGGTATTGTTATGTTGTAGTGTTTTATGGGTACAGTTGTAATGTTTTTTGGGGTAGATAGTATATTATATTGTTTCATGGTTGTAGTGGTTTATGGTTGTAGTTGTAATGTTTAATTGGGTATTTTATGGCAGTTTGTGACTTTTCTTAACGTGGGCGGGTCTTGCTAGTCATACTCGTCATCGCCATGGGCTGTGAGTCCCATGCCTCCCCATAGCGCAATATAAAACTGTTGTCTGGAAGGATAGAAGATACCAATCATGTGGCTATAATTGTACTGTATTTGGAAAAAAAATTTGTTTTTTATGTGTATGTTGTAGTGGTTTTGAGGTATAATTGTAGTGTATTACATTTTTTTTATGGATACATTTGAAAGCCTATAAAGGCAGCTGGTGTAATGTTGACCATATCAACTGTTGAGTGCCAGTTGGTATATTAAAGTTTAGGTCTAGCCCTATATGCCTATTACATCTGAGAGCGCTGAAAAGGATCCTTTACTTTCGTGGGTGTACTTAGTTTTTTTTATGGGAACAATTGTAAAACAGTTGTGATTAGTGATTAGAAAGGATTATAACCATTGCACTCTGGACAGATCCAAAGTTGCTCCAATCTCCTCCTCAAAAGCTCCACAAGTGTAAGATGACTGATGACGCCTGTTCTGTGTTGGTTAATGAAACGTAAAATAGTAGCGTTTCATGGATATGTTGTTTTATGGGTATACTTAGTGTTATATAGGCATCTTCTTTATATTCACCGGCTGTAAACTCCGATTGAAAGACCTGATTGTTTGTCAACTTCTGGACTTCAGACTCCAACCAGAATTTGGGTTTTGCATACATGTCTGTTTTACAGATCTTACTTAGTTGTATGCAGACTTGACCTCCGGTCAAAATGGACGCTAGGCACGGACACTGATTTGAGTCGTGGCAAATTGTTTGCTTCTGCCAGACAGTGGCCGTTGCATTTTTGCTCCATTTGTAGACTGAAATGATATAGTTTCGTCGCCAAGCTACTGATTTGAGTGGCATGTCACTGTGAGCTGTGGATTTCATTTGAAATGTTTTTCGACTGACCAATGTAGTGTTGTGAATTATAGATAGAGAAAATGGCCCGTGGCCTATTGTCGCAATATTGGTGCGGCCCTTATGTGATTAAAATTGATAGCATGTGCAGCTGCTGATTTGTTGTTAACTTCTGCTACCGTCGATGATGAACTGCATTTCTAATGTCAGACTGTTTGTGTTAGCACTTCTGATGGCTTTTAATTCGTGTGTATGCTAGTGCATATGCTGGGACAGCAGTCTGTCCATCTTTCCACAAGGGACTGCGACGAACGTTCTGTGTGTTTTTCGTTAGCACAGGAGCGGAGCAATTCATGGGATGACCGTTTCCTATGAAGCTGAAACCAAGATTACCATGCAGACTGTTGGGTTCTTGCCTCTTAGGCAGATGCTTTCCGACTTGGAAGAAAACACCTGTAATTAGTCGCTTTTTCGCTGATAAATTAGCTGAAGGAAGGTGCAACTGAAGAACAACACGACATACCAGTCTCTTATCAACAGAAGAAGAGAATGATCAAATCAATCAGAATGCCACCGAAACCGACACAAGACGATTATCCATATTCTGGACAGACCAGAGCAAGTCCTTATCCTTCACCTTAGAACCGGGCACAATCGACTTCGCTGCCACATGTACAACAGATTTAAGACTGGCCAATCAGCCATGTATACCTGTAGACTGGCACCTGAGACAACAGATCACATCCTCCAAGACTTTCCAAGATTCAACGCTTCCAGGCAAAACTTCTGGCAAAAGAGACACTTGTGGAAGTCAAACTTTACGGGCCGACTTAGTGAATTACAAAAGACAAGGGAAATTCATACTAGAGACATCATTGCAGATATAGATAATTTATTTCATGCGAATGAAAGAAGAAGAAGAAAGTCACCTTTTATGACATGCCTGTTAGGGAGCAGTAGGTTTGTTCTTTGTCTGCCAAAATGGAGCTCTGCAACCCACACAGGAAGTAAAGGACTAATAGAGAATTTGTGCATACGTTTTGTTGGTATAATTATAGTATTTTATCGATGTGTTATAGTGTTCTGTTTTGATTAATATCACTTCTTTATTCATTCAGCCACAGTTTGTTGTGTCATTTTATAAAAGAGAAGTAACTTCCGGTTGTTTTTGTTGTGTCATTTCATAAAAGAGAAGTAATTTCCAGTTGTTTTTGTTGTCATTTTATAAAAGAGTAGTTACTTCCCGTTGTTTTTGTTGTGTCATTTTATAAAACAGAAGATACTTCCGGTTGTTTTTGTTGTTATTTTATAAAAGAAGTAACTTCCAGTTGTTTTTGTTGAGTCATTTTATAAAACAGTAGTAATTTTTCAGTTGTTTTGTTTTTCTTCATGATTGAAGGTAGGTGAAGGAGAAAAGATGGTACGAGCATTATTTGCTGTCGCTCGATGCCATCAGCCAGCTGTTATCTTCATTGATGAAATTGATTCCTTGCTCTCTCAGAGATCGGATGCTGAACACGAGTCTTCACGGAGAATAAAAACAGAGTTTCTAGTTCAGCTGGTATGTGTATTCTTCTCCTCCTCCTCATTGACCTCCTTCTTCTTTTTCTTCTTCTTCTTCAACTTTTTCTTCTTCTTCTTCTTCTTCTTTATCTTCTTCTTCTGCTTCTTTTTCTTCCTCTTCCTCCTCCTCTTCTTCTTCTTCTTCTTCTTCTTCTTCTTCTTCTTCTTCTTCTTCTTCTTCTTCTTCTTCTTCTTCTTCTTCCTCCTCCTCTTCTTCTTCTTCCTCTTCTTCTTCTTCTTCTTCTTCTTCTTCCTCTTCTTCTTCTTCTTCCTGTTCATCTTATTTTTCTTTTTCATCTCCAGCATTCGAATCCTTGACATTCATTGTTGCAGATATCATCGTCTCCATTCATCTCTGTGATTGGCCATCTGTTTCAATTTGGTGACTCCCAAGTGTTCATAGTGGTATATGTCATACAGTTTTAAAATTTTCTTTAAATGTAAGGATCTCTATGGCAAATAGTTATGCTGCACTCTGAAGGTTGTGGGTTTATTTAACTGGCGATCATCACTGAGCAGGGAGAGACAGAGTCATATATGACAACTCAGGGCCGTTCAGTCGATTTCCTCAATAAAATGAAATGAAAAAAAAATGCATCTTCCTTGCATATGGATATCTCATTAAGTGCTCGTTCTTCATCAACATTTAATGATGGTACTGTACAGATCTGATAAGGAAAACTCACTGGGGACCCAAGAAATGGTTCTTCTAATAATGAAATTCCTCTTATTCAAAGTTCAAGAAGAAAAATTGCCTGGGATAAACAAATTGTTCTTCACAATAGAAATTTGCCACATCTGAGATCACCTTAAGCAGTCTGTGCGGAGCCGTTTTACCCAAGGAGCAATGGATTGCAAACTGTTCTTCTCTCACAGTGCCTAACGGCAAGAGTGGAATCTGATGTTGATAAATAAGGTGCTCAAATCTCCTGTGTATATTGTTATAGGAATCTGACCTACTTTAAGGTTTACAAAAAAAAAAAAAAAAACAATTACGGTGTGAAAGTTGAGTATTTGAAAGGGCAAATTGTAAGACCAGCCTCCAGGCCAAGTTTGCGACCTTTTGAAAATAAAATTAGTTAATTAGTTTGTTTATCTGTTGGTTCATTTTCAGATGGTCATTATGTAGCAAGTTTTTTTTTCCTAAACATTGGTTTGATTACAGTCTTTCAGAAAACCACTCATATTGACATTTGCTTCAGACTTCTGTAATTTAATCTAACAATGTTCCTCTTTATTATTGTAATGATAATCTCACAGGATGGGGCGGCAACAAATTCTGATGATCGAATCCTGGTCATTGGAGCCACAAACAGACCTCAGGAAATTGACGAAGCAGCCAGGAGAAGATTCGTCAAGCGGCTGCTCATCCCTCTCCCCGAAGCAATAGCCAGAAGTCAGATCATCAGAAACCTCATGTCCCAGCAGACTGCCAGACTCACTGAAGAGGATATTCAGTCCGTTGTTGATAAGACTGATGGTAAGTACTGAAAGCTGTTCATGTCCCTGCAGGCTGCCCGACTCACTGAAGAAGATATTCAGTCTGTTGTTGATAAGACTGATGGTAAGTACTGAAAGCTGTTCATGTCCCTGCAGACTGCCCGACTCACTGAAGAGGATATTCAGTCCGTTGTTGATAAGACTGATGGTAAGTACTGAAAGCTGTTCATGTCCCTGCAGGCTGCCCGACTCACTGAAGAAGATATTCAGTCTGTTGTTGATAAGACTGATGGTAAGTACTGAAAGCTGTTCATGTCCCAGCAGACTGCCCTACTCACTGAAGAAGATATTCAGTCCGTTGTTGATAAGACTGATGGTAAGTACTGAAAGCTGTTCATGTCCCAGCAGACTGCCCGACTCACTGAAGAAGATATTCAGTCCGTTGTTGATAAGACTGATGGTAAGTACTGAAAGCTGTTCATGCCCCAGCAGACTGCCTGACTCACTGAAGAAGATATTCAGTCCGTTGTTGATAAGACTGATGGTAAGTACTGAAAGCTGTTCATGTCCCAGCAGACTGCCCGACTCACTGAAGAAGATATTCAGTCTGTTGTTGATAAGACTGATGGTAAGTACTGAAAGCTGTTCATGTACCAGCAGACTGCCCGACTCACTGAAGAAGATATTCAGTCTGTTGTTGATAAGACTGATGGTAAGTACTGAAAGCTGTTCATGTCCCTGTGTGGGGTCTGGGGCCCCATTTTATAGCCAAAGGGAGGGGAAATGATAGCCCCACTGCCCCCGACAAGCATGTAAAAGGAAAAAATGAAGAGTTTTATAAAAATCGGAGGTGTTGGATTAAAAGATACAGATATCACAGTATATTCTTAAAAAGAAACAAAACCACCACAACATCACAACCCCCTTTTTTAGACAAATGCAGAAGAGGAAGAAAGCTGATCTCATTCCTGTGTGGGTTCTTTAGCCACCAGATTTGTTAGGAAAAAGAATAGACCCACTGCCAAATGGCCAAATGAAATGTTAGCTAAAAGCGGCTTTTGTGAATTCTTGTTCGTAATTGTAATATCGTTTACTTCTTCTTTCATTCACTTCTAGTAGATTCTCTATATCTACAGTGTTGTTTCTAGTATGAACTTCACTGTCTGTTGTAATTAAACCAGAGACTCATAAAGTTTGGTTTGAGCCGATGTTTCTCTTGGCCTTGATATGTTGTATTTGGGACAGTCTTGGAGGACATGATCTGATGTCTCAGGTGCCAGTCCACATATATACGTGGCTGATTCGCCAATCTTACATTCTGTGTACGTGTGGCTGTAAAGTCGATTGTGTCCTGTTCTAAGGTGTAGAATAATAACTTGCTCTGGTCTCTTCAGAATATGGTAATCATCTTTTTGCCAGTTTTGGTGGCTTTCTGACTCATTTGATTATTCTCTTCTGTTGATAAGAGACTGTTACATCAGGTTTTGCTTCATTTGCACCTTCCTTTGCTTGTTTATAGGCTCTTTCATTTCTGGGATCTCCACAGGGGGATTGTTTTGTTTACTCATGTAATATACTGGAGAAGGCTTACACTTGTTGGTTGTAATAGTGATAATATGAAGGTAACTAGTTTGGTTTGATATCTTTTCTTTGCTAAAATCAAATTTGTTGAGCCAAGACCCACATATATTACGGCCTAACTGTAAACCACAACCCTGTGCCAACTGCCCTTTTAAGGGCAAACTAAGAAGAAGAAAAAAGCTGTTCTAAGTTAAATTTGGGAGTGTACAACGAGCTGAAAGCTATTGGGATGAAGTGTTGGTTGTAAATCCCTTGGAAGATTGAGTTTTATTTGTATCTCTTCCTGCCCACACCATGATAAGTTTGAAGAAGAAAACAAATCCTGACATCCTAAAAGATATGAACATAAAGAAGATTGGTTAGTAAACAGCATCTTCTCCCAGAAACTGAAATACTGTGGCCATATCAAGCGCCACAGTGGATTGGAAAGACTAATAGCAGAAGGCATGGTGCCAGTAAAGAGGGGCAAGAGCCGACCAACATGAAGATGTGCACAGGAAATGACACGTTGGGTAGGAAAATACACGAGGTTGAAGAGATGGCAGGAGTTTCTTTCGGCATGATGAGAGTGATGTTCTGCAAAGGACTTGCTACATGATGTATCTGCCCTATACTTGGAGTGTTGAATTAAGAATCAACATCATAGTGCTCGGGACACTCCTATAAGCGCTCCATTCTGGGTCACTTTATAGGGAAAAACAAGAATAAACCCACTACCTACCCAGAAGCATATCATAAGACTTATTAGGACCTTCCTTAGAAGTCTGAATGCATCTGCCTGAGAGGCAAGGAACCAACAGTCTGCATACAAATAATCTGAAAAATAGATATGTACGCAATTCTCAAGTTCTGGAACAGGACTAGAGTACAGAAGTGGAAGAAAAACCAGAACTTTCCGCTGGAGTTTGCAGCCTGTGAGAACTAAGAAGAAGAAGTCAAATGGATGTGGAACGATTCCAAAGTCCAGAATAAGTGGACAAAGAACCAGAGCTCTCTGCCCGAGTTTACACTAGGAGGATGATGAAACTTCAAAACACGCCTGTGTCACAGGCGTTATGTTTATGTTTCTAATATATATAGAGGTTTGAATTAGAAACTTTGAATTCTGTGCTGCAGGTTACTCAGGTGCGGACATGACCAATCTTTGTCGAGAGGCTGCCCTGGGTCCTATACGAAGCATTCCCTTTGAAATGATGGAAATCGTGACACCAGATCAGGTTTGGCAGTTATTCTTGGCAGGCTGGCTTGAATAAATTTGTTTAGTTGTAACATTTGCTGTCATTGTAACATTATTGTTTAATAAATTTGTTTAGTTGTAACATTTGCTGTCATTGTAACATTATTGTTTAATAAATTTGTTTAGTTGTAACATTTGCTGTCATTGTAACATTATTGTTTAATAAATTTGTTTAGTTGTAACATTTGCTGTCATTGTAACATTATTGTTTAATAAATTTGTTTAGTTGTAACATTTGCTGTTTTTTGTATCACAATTGTTTCATAAATTTCTGTAGCTGTAACATCTACTGTCACTGCGTCACATTAGTTTCATAAATTTGTATAGTTGGAACATCTGCTATCATTGCCTCACATTTGTTTCATAAGTTTTTATATTAGTAACATCTGCTGCAATTGTTTCACATTTGTTTCATAAATTTGTATAGTTGGAACATATGCTGTCATTGCATAGCATTTAATTCATATATTTACATAGTAACTTCTGTTGTCATTTTATCACTTTAGTTTCAAACATTTGATATTTGTAACATCTACTGTCTTTATTATACCAACGGTCAGCCTTATGGATCATGCTGATATTATTAATACCTTCAGAGAAATGGAAAGGATAGAGGACTTTGGTGGCAGTGAATCCATATGACTCGCCAGAATTGCAGACTTGGGAATTAAGATCGGCATAACCAAAAAAAAGAGACGCACACCAGACGACTTGTTAATCAACATAGAACTGGCACCATAAGCCATCGGACATTGGGATTCATACTGAGGGGAGGATCTGAGCACCTATGGACATGTCCGGAGTGCAATGATGATAACCCAACTGACTAACTAACTAAATAACTAACTGTAACTAACTAACTAACTGTCTTTAAGTCATATTTGTTTCATACATTTGTATAGTTACATCCACATCATAGCATTAACTTTGTTTCATATAATTTGTACTAAAATTTGCAGGCAGTTAGTTAGTCTTTCCTCTTGTGTCGAGTGCGGCACATAGGGCAGAGGTCGCGACTCTCCATGCACGGCGGTCCGTTGCAATCCGTTGTAGAAATTTGCAGTAGTTGTATCAAATTTGATAAAATCATTAACTCTTTTGATAGTTAAATTAGTTATATTTCCATGCATTATGGAACCGAGAGAGTTACTGTTACATTTCATCATCATCCTGTTGCAGCATTCAATTGTCACCTAGAGCTTTCGGTCTGGTTCTCCAATCCATTTGATGTTGTTCAGTCTTGCCAATATCGTCCCTGCTTGGTGAGGATCGGGACATGTCCACGCGCTGGTGGGCCCAGCATTGGCTGCACCTTACAGGGGGGGGGGGGGGGGGGGGGTCACACTCCACCAAGGGTTTCTGTCTGGCTTACCCCAGCCATAACCTAGTATTTTACCCCTTCAGGCATCGGGAAATCATTTTGTTAGTGATGGAGACTCGCTGTTCGCCACAGCCGTGTCTGTTAAAACAGGCAACACCACAAGTAGGTACATGTGGCTTGATTGGCAGAGGCTGTGAGTTGTGTGCAGACAGTTTCTATTGTTTAGGTGAGACCTGTCTATGCCAATCCTTGCTACCCTAATTCTATTTAAGATGTTACATTTATTATCATAAACTATTCCTTCCACAATAATATGAAGACCCTCCGTTGGCTTCTGAAGAAGGGGACAGAGGACTTGTGGTAGTGTCCCAAGTGCAGTGATGTCACTTCTTGATTCATCCATTCATTCATTTATTTCACAAATTTGTTTTGAGGCTAAACTTATTTATTCTGGAATGAAAAATACATCTCCTCCCGACACTTCACTGAGGTACAAGGTAGAAGAGAAGAAGAAGACGTATTGAGGCCTCAGAGATATTGTTTTACTAAATTATGCTTAAAATTCCTTTGAGAGCCAAAAAGAGCAACCCAGATGTTTTGAAAGTAGTGAGGCCCTGAAGACAGCGTATCACAAACATCAGGAAGAGACAGTCATCATGTATTGGATATTTTATAAGAGGAAAAACTGGAACATGATCACTAGAAAAGTTTGTGAAAAGAGAAATAGAGGAAGACAACATGAGATAGAGATGGAGGAGGACAACGTGAGATTGAGATAGAGGAAGACGCTAGAGATAGAGAATGACAACCTGAGATAGAGGAAGAAAACATGAGAAAAGGATAGAGGAAGACAATACGAGGCAGTTAATATTCATTGTATGGGTGTAGCATTTACTATCAA